CTCTTAATGTGGACTTCGGGGGACAGGTCTGGCGTGATATCAACCCCCAGGTCTTTCTCTCTCTCTCTCTAATTCTAGAAGAATTTCGTCTCCCAACTGATATCTTGTATCTGGTCTTCTGCTCCCTATACCTATCTTCATTACATTACATTTGCTTGGGTTAAACTCGAACAAGCATTTGTTGCACCATTCCTTCAGTTTGTCCAGGTCTTCTTGAAACCTCATGCTGTCCTCCTCTGCCTTAAACCTTCTCATAAGCAACATTGAGAAGAATGAGTCTATACCCTCTGGAAGATCATTTACGTATATCACAAACAGGATAGGTCCGAGTACAGAGCCCTGTGGGACTCCACTGGTGACGCCAATCTGAGGTCTCACCTCTCACTATAACTCTGTCACCTCAGACGTTAGAGCTGACTCTATACTCTCAGCTCAGATAACAGAACCTATCCCATACTCTCAATTCAGGTATTTATTATTATTATTATTATTATTTATATATACAAGAGTTCTTACATTCATGTACAGCCACTAGTACGCGTAACGTTTCGGGCAGGTTCTTAATCCTATGTTCCTTGGAATACGACCCGCCTGGTAGTTAAACCAGGGAATACATACCCTGGTTTAACAATCAGGTACCTATTTTACTGTTGGGTTAAACAGAGGCTACAATTAAGGATTGGCGCCCAGTCAATCCTTCTCGGCCAGGATACGAACGCAGGACAAAGCGCTCGCGAAACGCCAGGCGAGTGTCTTACTACTACGCCACGGGGGACTGCTAATCAAAGCAGACCCCATACCCTTAGCTCAGGCGACAAAACTGACCCCATACCCTTAGCTCAGGCGACAAAACTGACCCCATACCCTTAGCTCAGGCGACAAAACTGACCCCATACCCTTAGCTCAGGCGACAAAACTGACCCTATACCCTTAGCTCAGGCGACAAAACTGACCCCATACCCTTAGCTCAGGCGACAAAACTGACCCCATACCCTTAGCTCAGGCGACAAAACTGACCCTATACCCTTAGCTCAGGCGACAAAACTGACCCCATACCCTTAGCTCAGGCGACAAAACTGACCCCATACCCTTAGCTCAGGCGACAAAACTGACCCCATACCCTTAGCTCAGGCGACAAAACTGACCCTATACCCTTAGCTCAGGCGACAAAACTGACCCTATACCCTTAGCTCAGGCGACAAAACTGACCCTATACCCTTAGCTCAGGCGACAAAACTGACCCCATACCCTTAGCTCAGGCGACAAAACTGACCCAATACCCTTAGCTCAGGCGACAAAACTGACCCTATACCCTTAGCTCAGGCGACAAAACTGACCCTATACCCTTAGCTCAGGCGACAAAACTGACCCCATACCCTTAGCTCAGGCGACAAAACTGACCCCATACCCTTAGCTCAGGCGACAAAACTGACCCCATACCCTTAGCTCAGGCGACAAAACTGACCCCATACCCTTAGCTCAGGTGATAAAGCTGATCCCATATTATCAGCACAGGTAACAGAGGTGACCTCCTATACTCTCAGCTCGGGGCCAGAACCGACCACATACCCTCAGCTCAGGTGCCAATACTGTCCCCCATACTCTCAGCTCAGGTGCCAATACTGTCCCCATACTCTCAGCTCAGGTGCCAATACTGACCCCATACTCTCAGCTCAGGTGCCAATACTGACCCCATACCCTCAGCTCAGGTGCCAATACTGACCCCATACTCTCAGCTCAGGTGCCAATACTGACCCCATACCCTCAGCTCAGGAGCCAATACTGACCCCATACTCTCAGCTCAGGTGCCAATACTGACCTCATACTCTCAGCTCATTATCAGAGACGAAGCCATACTCTCAGCTCATTATCAGAGACGAAGCCATACTCTCAGCTCATTATCAGGGACGAAGCCATACTCTCAGCTCATTATCAGAGACGAAGCCATATTCTCAGCTCATTATCAGAGACGAAGCCATACTCTCAGCTCATTATCAGAGACGAAGCCATATTCTCAGCTCATTATCAGAGACGAAGCCATACTCTCAGCTCATTATCAGAGACGAAGCCATATTCTCAGCTCATTATCAGAGACGAAGCCATATTCTTAGCTCATTATCAGAGACGAAGCCATACTCTCAGCTCATTATCAGAGACGAAGCCATACTCTCAGCTCATTATCAGGGACGAAGCCATACTCTCAGCTCATTATCAGAGACGAAGCCATATTCTGAGCTCATTATCAGAGACGAAGCCATATTCTCAGCTCATTATCAGAGACGAAGCCATACTCTCAGCTCATTATCAGAGACGAAGCCATACTCTCAGCTCATTATCAGAGACGAAGCCATACTCTCAGCTCATTATCAGGGACGAAGCCATACTCTCAGCTGATATACTCAGAGACGTCCCTATACTCCCTGGGCGAGTGACATGTGATGGGTCTAGCTGATGTCTTGTGTTAAGAGACGGAGCGTCTCGGGTGCTGGGGGCCAGCGACCCAAGGCGAGCCATTACTGTCTTAGAGAAACCTGCATTAGCCAGACCATTAGTCCCATCTCTCTTAGATTATGTTGTGGCCGGCAACTGTGTGTGTGTGTGTGTGTGTGTGTGTGTGTGTGTGTGTGTGTGTGTGTGTGTGTGTGTGTGTGTGTGTGTGTGTGTGTGTGTGTATCCACCCAGTTGTGCTTGCGGGGGTTGAGCTCTGCTCTTTCGGCCCGCCTCTCAACTGTCAATCAACTGTTTGTACTACTACTACTATTATTTTTTCCACACCACACACACACACACACCCCAGGAAGCAGCCCGTGACAGCTGACTATCTCCCAGGTATCTATTTACTGCTAGGTAACAGGAGCATACAGGGTGATAGAAACTCTGCCCATCGTTTCTCGCCAGCGCCCGGGATCGAACCCGGGACCACAAGATCACGTGTACAGCGTGCTGTCCGTTTGGCCACCGTCTCCCTTGTGTGTGTGGGGGTGGGAGTGGGGGATGGGGAGGTGTGGGGGATGGGGAGGTGGGGGGGAGGAGGGAGGTGGGGGGGAGGAGGGAGGTGGGGGGGAGGAGGGAGGTGGGGGGAAGGAGGGAGGTGGTGGGGATGTGGGGGGGGAATTAGTAGTTAGTAAACAGTTGATTGACAGTTGAGAGGCGGGCCGAAAGAGCAGAGCTCAACCCCCGCAAGCCCTAGTGATGACCAGACCCTGGTGATGACCAGACCCTGGTGATGACCAGACCCTGGTGATGACCAGACCCTGGTGATGACCAGACCCTGGTGATGACCAGACCCTGGTGATGACCAGACCCTGGTGATGACCAGACCCTGGTGATGACCAGACCCTGGTGATGACCAGACCCTGGTGATGACCAGACCCCTGGTGATGACCAGACCCTGGTGATGACCAGACCCTGGTGATGACCAGACCCTGGTGATGACCAGACCCTAGTGATGACCACGAGACAAGTTTCAACATTCTGGCTACTCCAAAATTTATTTGTTCCCTCTTCCTAGCCTCTAGGAGCTGCTTCCTCATTCCTTTCCGAAGCTTAGCGCTGTCGACGAGCAGCGACGTGATGGGGTCTACCTCCTCGGTAAAATCATTAGCATAAATTAGGAAGAGAATGGGTTTTATAATTGACTCAGCTTGTATTCCGATTGGTACTCTCTCTCGTCTCTCTCATTCCCTGTGTCTCCCTCTCCACCGTGACTCTCCGCCTTGTGTTTGACAACTGTGCTTGCTGGTGGTCCAGTTCTTCCTGCCTCCAGGCCGCTCACAGTCACCTGTCTTGGGAGTCTAAATAAAGCAGTTTGTCGGTTATCTTGTAATAGGAATGTAGACATTTTTGATACAGTTAGTGTGTGTGTGTGTGTGTTTACTAGTTGTGTTTTTGCGGGGGTTGAGCTTTGCTCTTTCGGCCCGCCTCTCAACTGTCAATCAACTGTTTACTAACTACTTTTTTTTTTTTTTTTTCCACACCACACACACACACACACACCCCAGGAAGCATCCCGTGACAGCTGACTAACTCCCAGGTACCTATTTACTGCTAGGTAACAGGGGCACTTAGGGTGAAAGAAACTTTGCCCATTTGTTTCTGCCTTGTGCGGGAATCGAACCAGCGCCACAGAATTACGAGTCCTGCGCGCTATCCACTAGGCTACGAGGCCCCCCTTGTTTGTGTGTGTGTGTGTGTGTGTGTGTGTGTGTGTGTGTGTGTGTGTGTGTGTGTGTGTGTGTGTGTGTGTGTGTGTGAACATATGAGGACGCTCATGTGCGTGCAGGGAAACGTGTGAGGGTGTTGTGTGAGTGGGATGGAGAGGGTGAGTGCGTGGGCGTGGCCTGCTGCTGGCACTCATGGACCTCATACAGTAACCGATGAGGGCCCCCCTGGCCCCGTGCCAGGTCAAGGGGAAGATGGGTGAAGGAGGGAGGTGCGGTGGGGTGGGGGGGGGGGGGGAAGTGTAGAAGGAGGTTGAGTGACACTTCCTGAGTCACTCAACCTCCACCACCCAACAACACACAGCTCCCGTATCCGTTGTTTTAATTAATAACTTCACTTATGCCGACCCTACATGCTTATTTAGCGAGGACTCAAACACTTCCTTCGGGAGTTCTGGCTTTTGTAGACGTATATTACGGCTTTTGTAAACGTATATTACGGCTTTTGTAGACGTATCTTCTGGCTGTTGATGTCGTATATTACGGCTTTTGTAGACATCAATAGTTAGAAGATAGTCTGCAAAAGCCGTAATATACGATATCAACAGCCAGAAGATACGTCTACAATAGCCAGAATACACTTCATCAACAGCCAGAAGATACGTCTACAATAGCCAGAATACACTTCATCAACAGTCAGAAGATACGTCTACAATAGCCATAATGGGTTTTACGGCTTTTGTAGACGTATCTTGTAGCTATCGTGCCTCGCCAGATATCAACAGTGCCTCCGTGCCTCAGGTGTGATCTGACCACCACCTCTCCTCCCACCCTGGCCAGGTGTGACGGGGGACCTGCTCCAGAGGGTGGAGGTGCCGAGCTTCGCCTTCGCGGGCGGCCGAGTGAACGTGAGCTGCATGTTTGACCTACGGGCCACGGGCCTCTACTCCCTCAAGTGGTACCACAACGACACCGAGTTCTACCGCTACGTGCCCACCGAGACCCACAGACAGGTGGACATCAAGCCCACTATGAAGTTCCAGGCGCATGTGAGTACCGCTACACCTGTCTCAGTATACTTGTGGCGGGGGAGTTGGGGGCTCGAGTTTGGTCTCTTAAACTGTGTGTGTTGTGTGCGGAATTTGCAATCTCTTAAGTGGAAACATTTTGCATGTTCTGTGATAGACCACATATTACTAATAAAATGAGGAATCAACACACATTTACTAAAACAAACCCACCCACCCACACACACACACAGTGTGGTACAGGTACCTGGGAGTTAGTCAGCTGTCACGGGCTGCTTCCTGGTGTGTGTGTGTGGTGTGGAAAAAAAAAGTAGTTGGTAAACAGTTGATTGACAATTGAGAGGCGGGCCGAAAGAGCAAAGCTCAACCTCTGCAAACGCAACTAGGTGAATACAACTAGGTGAATACAGTTGTATCATACAGTAGTGTCATACACAACGTAGTAGTGATAGGTGTTTGGGAACAATAAGGGACTACAAGGGAAGAATGGAGGACTTAGGACAAAGCTTCAGTGTCAGGGATACAGAAGGAGACAGGAATGGAATGGGCTGAACGAGACAAAGAACAGTTTTTCCAGATTGGTCAGTACAACAGACAAAAAGAGATTGATCAAGAGATTGATTCAAGAGCGAGGACATCAAAGAGGACATCCTAGTAAAGAAGAGCAAACTGAAAAATGCAAGGAATTACAGAGAGGTATACCTTCAGAGGGACATGACCAGGGACGAGATAATAAGGGCAGCAGATGCAATGAAAAGGTGCAGGGAGAGGGAAGGGAGTTAGGGATCAGCCTCCAACCCAGTACTTCCAAAGGTGGGGAGGGGGGGGGGGGGTAGGAGAGCCACATCCCAGCAATTCAGGAACCTGAGAAGGAAATGCAACACCCAAGCCCACCACCCCATAGAGCTCCCTCCACCCCCCCAGCTCAAATCCCTCCTTGCCCCTACACAATGCCCACCATATCCCCGAAATCCTCTTTCCCCTTATCCCGAGAATTCCCTGCCTCCCCATCCCCTGGTCTTCTTCCCGCCACAATCAGGCCCAGGCAAGACCTTGGCCCTCCATTCCCCACCCCGATCTCCCCAAACCTCTGTTAACTACACTACAGGAGGGCGTGCCCTCACCCCAAGCAATCCTTGCTCCCCAACACCAAGCACTCCTAGCCCCACCCCCCCCTACCCTCAAGAATTCTTCCTGTCCCAAGCAGGCCTGGGCATGACTTAAGCTCTTTATTCCCCACCCCACCTCCCCCTGAAACCCTGGCAACTTCCCTGCAGGAGGATGAGCCTACCCAAGTTGAAATGCCCATGGATCAACTTCCTACACTTGTAGGGAGGGTGAAAATGAATATAGGAAAGTGAGCTTCAAGGTAATGTACTCAAACATCGATGTTATTACCAATAAAGCAAGCGAACTGATGGAAAGGGTGCAGGAAGAAACCCCAGATGTAATAGGACTCACAGGAACAAAATTGTCAGGAGTCATAACAGATGCTGTGTTTCCGAAGGACTACTATATAGTAAGGAAAGAGAGGGAAGGGAGAGGAGGTGGAGGAGTGGCCCTGCTGATAAGGAAGGACTGGAGCTTTGATGAGATGGAAATTCCGGGCTGTGACGGATTCAGAGATTACATGATAGGAACTATGACAATGGATGAACCAAAGATAACAGTGGTAGTCATTTACAACCCTCCCCTAAATGACAGAAGACCCAGACAGGAGTTTGATAGGAATAACATGGCAACCAATAATATAATAGAGAGAGCAGCTTCAGTTGCCTGTAGGAATGGCCCCAAACTCGTAATCATGGGCGATTTCAACCATGGAAAAATAGTCTTGGAGAATGGGGACCCACATAGAGGTGCAGGAACATGGAGAGATAAACTCTTGGAAGTGGCAACAAGGAACTTTCTGAGCCAACATGTCAGGGAACCCACAAGAATGAGAGGCAATGACGAACCAGCTAGACTCGACCTGATATTCACCTTGAGTCAGAAATAAGAGAAGTCAAATTTGAGGCCCCCATAGGAATGAGTGACCACAGTGTATTGACATTTGAGTATCTGGTGGAGGTAGGGATAACCTATACAAGGATAGGACCGGAAGGGAAAAGGCTGAACTACCCTAGAGGAAAATATGACGAGATGAGGAACTTCCTAAGGGGAATACCATGGGAAACAGAACTCAGAGAGAAGAATGTACAGGATATGATGGACTATGTCACCCAGAAGTGCCAGGAAGCCGCAGATAGATTTATCCCGGTCCAAAAGGAGAAAAGCGAAAACCAACAGAAGAATCCATGGTTCAACCAGGAATGTAAGGTAGCAAAGCAAGTGAGTAAAAAAACATGGAGAAACTTCACGAATAACAGAACACCAGAGAGCAGAGAGATAGCAGAGGGCCAGAAATAAGTACCTCAGAGTGAGGTTATCTTGAGGTTATCTTGAGATGATTTCGGGGCATTTTTAGCCTCCCCGCGGCCCGGTCCTCGACCAGGCCTCCACCCCCAGGAAGCAGCCCGTGACAGCTGACTAACACCCAGGTACCTATTTTACTGCTAGGTAACAGGGGCATAGCGTGAAAGAAACTCTGCCCATTGTTTCTCGCCGGCGCCCGGGATCGAACCCGGGACCACAGGATCACAAGCCCAGCGTGCTGTCTGCTCGGCCGACCGGCTTCTCTCCTTGTGAAGAGAGAAGCAGAGAGACAGTATGAAAATGACATCGCGAGTAAAGCTAAGACCCAACCAATGTTTCTCCACAGCCACATCAGGATGAAAACAGAGGTGAAGGAACAAGTGATGAAACTGAGAAAAGAGGAGAATAGATACATGGAGAATGACAAGGTGTGTGAAGAACTCAACAAGAGATTCCAGGAGGTCTTCACAATAGATCAAGGAGAAGCACCTGCACTAAATGAGGAGGAGGCAAGCCAAGCAGCCTTGGAGGATTTTGACTTCACCAGTGAAGAGGTCAAAGAGAATCTGTTGGAGCTGAATGTGAGAAAGGTTGTTGGGCCTGGCAGAATCTCACCGTGGATACTAAAAGAAGGTGCAGAAGTACTAAGTGTGCCACACTCTATGGTGTAAAACAGGTCACTGGAAACAGGAGACCTACCGGAAAGCTGGAAGACAGCTAATGTAATCCCAATATACAAAAAGGGTGACAGGCAAGAGGCACTGAACTACAGGCCAGTTTTCCTAACTTATATACCATACAAGGTGATGGAGAAGAGCGTTAGGAAAAGGCTCGTAGAGCATCTGGAGGGAAACAGCTTTGTAACACACCACCAGCATGGGTTCAGAGATGGTAAATCGTGTCTCACAGGGTAAATAGAATTCTATGACCAAGAAAAAAAAATAGACAAGAAAGAGAAGGGTGGGCAGACTGCATTTTCTTGGACTGTCAGAAAGCTTCTGACACAGTACCCCATAAAAGGCTGTTACGAAAGTTGGAGCAACAGGCAGGAGTAAAAAGTAAGGTGCTCCAGTGGATAAGGAGTATCTAAGCAACAGGAAAACAGCGAGTAGCTGTTAGGGGTAAGATCTGAGAGTGGCGACATGTCACCAGCGCAGTCCCACAGGGCTCTGTACTTGGACCCATCCTGTATCTAATATATGTAAACGATCTTCCAGAAGGTATAGACTCATTCCTCTCAATGTTGGCTGATGATGGAAAAAATATGAGAAAAATCAAGACAGATGATGATGATAGATAGAGACTACAGAACTACCTGGACAAGCTGGAGGAGTGGTCTAGAAAATGGCTACTAAAGTTCAACTCAGGAAAGTGCAAAGTTATGAAATTAGGTGAAGGGAGCAGAAGGCTGAACACAAGGTATCATCTAGGGGTTGATATCACACCGAACCTGTCCCCACAGCCCCACATCAAAAGGATTTCCTCAGCGGCATATGCTAGACTGGCCAACATAAGAACTGCCTTTAGAAACTTATGTAAGGAATCGTTCAGGACCCTGAATACCACTTACGTCAAACCAATCCTGAAATATGCAGCTCCAGCTCGGGGGTCCATACTTAGTTAAACACAAGGCAAAGAGAAGATTTAGAGGTATGCCACCAGACTCGTCCCGGAACTATGAGGTATGAGCTACGAGGAAAGGCTAAAGGAGCTGAACCTCACATCCCTGGAAGACAGAAGAGTAAGGGAAGACATGATAATCATCTACAAAATTCTCAGGGGAATTGACAGGGTGGACAAAGACAAACTCTTCAGCACGGGTGGGACACGAACAAGGGGACACAGGTGGAAGCTGAGTACCCAGATGAACCATAGAGACGTTAGAAAGAACTTTTTCAGTGTCAGAGTAGTTAGTAAATGGAATGCATTAGGAAGTGATGTGGTGGAGGCTGACTCCATACACAGTTTCAAATGTAGATATGACAGAGCCCAGTAGGCTCAGGAATCTGTACATCAGTTGATTGACGGTTGAGAGGCGGGACCAAAGAGCCGAAGCTCAACCCCCGCAAGCACAATTAGGTGAGTACAACTAGGTGACTACACACACACACACACACACACACACACACACACACACACAACAGAACGAGGGGACATGGATGGAAGCTTGAAACTCAGATGAGTCACAGAGATGTTAGGAAGTTTTCTTTTAGCGTGAGAGTAGTGGGAAAATGGAATGCACTTCAGGAACAGGTTGTGGAAGCAAATACTATTCATAATTTTAAAACCAGGTATGATAGGGAAATGGGACAGGAGTCATTGCTGTAAACAACCGATGCTCGAAAGGCGGGATCCAAGAGTCAATGCTCGATCCTGCAGACACAACTAGGTGAGTACAACTAGGTGAGTACACAAACACACACACACACACACACACACACACACACACACACACACACACACACACACACACACACACACACACACACACTCACCAAAACACGCATTCACACACACGCACACAACAAAAAGTTGCTCCAACTCAGGAAGTCATATGTACCTGTCAGGAGCGGCAATCTTCCCCCTGGCTGGGCCAGCCAAGGATCGTCGGACACACCAGCGCCTGAGGCCCTTCCCCCTCCACCCCCCGCGGCGTCGACCAGGGCAAGCAGTTCGCCC